TCACCAATGAAATACGTAGAGAATGACGGTGTTTCGCTGCATGGGCGTGGCATGACAGGTCGTAGCCGTGAAACTTACGACTGTCGTAACTCTCGGAATAGCAATAGAGCAGAATGAGACTTGCGACGTTTCGTCTGTAAGAACAGTTTTGTTGGGTTCAAAATATTTCGTTACCGACACGGATTCGGAGGAATTCTTTAACTCTATCGAGACGCGAAAGTGAAGACTGGGCAGGTTCTGTCCATATATGGCTGTAGTACTCCATCTTCGGCCTGATCTGGCTCGTGCAAATAGAAAGACTAGTGAGGTACGTACCGGAACAGTACAGAGAAGTGACAATTTTCCAGCATCTTTAGTAATCGATCGTATGTACGAGTTCCACTTGAGGTCTGGGTTGAATTTGAATCCCAATAGGCGCTCAAGGGACGGGGCAACCCCGAGATGGTGGAATGTAAATACAGTGTAACCCGGATATAAGAGAGTTGTCGGGACCGGAGAAGAAGTCTCTTATATCCGGGTTTTTCTTATATCCGGGTTTGGTCTATTTTGTTTAGGTAAGTATGGGCTCTAATTTGGGACCAGAGAAAATATCTCTTATATCCGGGTTTTTCTTATATCCGGGTTTGGTCTATTTTGTTTAGGTAAGTATGGGCTCTAATTTGGGACCAGAGAAAATATCTCTTATATCCGGGTTTTTCTTATATCCGGGTCTCTTATATCCGGATTACACTGTAGTTTGGTTTTCGAGACATTGTATGCAACCAACCCGTTTTTCAACCGACTGAGATGTTAAAGCTTGACCGGTGGAAAGATCAGCTACTAATCTCTAGACACCACAAGTTTTGGAAACACTGATACACAATCCCATATTCAGTTCACCTCTGCGTGGTGTAATTGTTAGCAAACTTGTCACGCTAGATCACAAGTGGGTTGGGGTGAGTCCCAATTTGCTCTCTAACCCAGGGGCTTCTCTGAGGGAACATCACGGCCTGATATGGCTCTTGTTGTAGTAGGAGTCAGGTTTAAGATAAAGATTGAGGCGAAGAGCTTTCCCTTAACTGACGAGTATGAAATGACCTTGGGAGCCATTTATAATAGTATACACTGACGCTTTGTCTATATTCGAAATTTGGTTATAGATCTTCCAGAACTCCCGGGATCCAACTTGTTTGCTTTCATTTTTGGCCTGAACTGTTCGAACATTTTGCATTTTCTAGAACTCTCTTTCAGTAGTTGCGGGCAGTTCACAAGGCAACTCGTGTCCTGCTACACTGCTACCTATGATAAGTATTATAGTAGGCAGCCTCATTCGTTGGTGAACCAGAGCTGGCTGTTCGGTTTCTGCTGGTATTTATCCTGAGGTATGAAACTCTCCATTTCAGTAAGAACTCATTCTGATACGAGTGTAGAAATGTGTTTGAAGATGTCTGAGAGAGGAGCTTCCGCCATGTAAAATCTGAAACTGTCCAAGTCTGCTTTCCTGTACCAAAATGTCGTTCCATGGAACGGTCTATCGGGGGATATAATTGGCTTGGCATCAACTTTGATATTGTCTAGTGCTGGATTTGAAGTGTCTTTAGGAAGGGATAAAACTTCAGCAAAGGATTTTTCAAGGAAGGAGTTGAAGAGGTCTAGGAGGATCGCCTGATGTCCTGTCACATCAGAAACTTGAATGGCTTCTTCAATGATCTACGATGATAGGCGATGGAGAAGTCTCTGTAGTATCTGACTTCATTCGTTTTGTTCGAAACAACTAACCACTCTTTGTAGGGAATATTGAAGTTAGGTAACCGGGGTAAATTTAGTGAGGATATTATCAATCGTCTCAGTGAGCACAGGACTGGAGCTAGCTTCGGCAATTAGATGGAGATTCGTCTCCAGTTAAGCTAGTCGAACTCTCTGCCTTCAGGCGGAGAGGGACCCAGACGAGGCTATGCCGAAGGGCAGAGTCACGTCTGGGGAAGTAGACAGCTACCCGACCTCGTTTTTAAGGGCTCTACAGGGAACTTTTCTACGAGTCTACGGGCTCGGATTTACACCGCATTAAATAACGGCCTTGTGCCACATCCTGCCTCGCGGGGTGGTGAGGTAAATAACCTTGCTTCCGCAATTGGAGATGCGTCTCCAGCTGTACCAGTTGAACTCTCTGTTTTCGGGCAGAGAGGAACCCAGACGAAGTTATGCCGAAGGGAAGAGTCTCGTCTGGGGAGGTAGACAGCTACCCAACCCCGTTTTACCGGGTTTTACGGGGAATTTTTGCCCGAGCCTACAGGCTCGGATACCCCACGTTAAATTCGGCCTTGTGCCATATCTGACGGTGTAGGGAGGCTGGCAAATATCCTTGCTTCGGCAATTATTTGGAGATTCGTCTCCAGCTGTACTGGTCGAACTCTCTGTCTTCGGGGAGAGACGATCCCCAGACGAGGCTATGACAAAGGGCAGAGACTCTTCTCGATAAACAGCTACCCGACCCCGTTTTATACGGGGAATTTTTGGCTGAACCTACGGGCTCAGATAACCTACATTAAATTCGGCCTTGTGGGGCGGTTGGTAGATATCCTTGCTTCAGGAATTACTAGCCTGCCACCCGATTCCCTGTCTTTCAGTAGTGTGTTCTCTTTTACAATAAACCTCTCTTTCTTTTCATCTACGCTGTTCCTTCACTCGAGTACCACCTTTGTCTGTTTGTAACCTCTTTAAGGTTACAAGTCCTTTCTTCACGTTTTCTCTTACTACTTTGTCACGAAGATCTTTTAAATTTTCTTGTTTCGACCGTCAACATAGAGTCATCTGCCTATATTTTATTGAGAAGATTTTGCGCAAAATAATAAATCCTAGTTAGATTTCAGTCTCCTTTACGATAGCCTCGCTGTACAGATTGAAGAGATCCATTGGAAAGACACATTCTGACTTACCTCCATTTTTAGTTTTGCATCCTTATTTATTTGTATCATCTGAATCCAGATGATTTCTTTCGAGTATAAGTTCTTAATTATCCTAAAATCCTTCCGAAGTAAGAATATCAGTCAAATACATATTTGTGTCATAGCTTCTTCTTCTTTTAGGCGCCGTGTTCCTTCAGCACGTAGGCGATCATAGCTCTCCACTTCACCCTATCTCTTGTAGTTCTCAATATGTTTTGTCCTTTTGCCCCAAGATCCTGTTCTGTCATCCCTTTGCTTAAGCCCGCTAGATATGTCACGCTTGTCTCTCTTTCCCTCTGTCCACCCTCATTACGGGTCGCAGAAATTTCAGCTGCCTCTTCCTGGTGTTAAGTATAAGCTTCCTTCTTGTTTGCTTCCTCTCCAAGACCTCATCGTTGCTCAAGTGTTCGGTCCATGGTATCCTTCTGTAGAACCATACCTCAGTTGCCTCGAGTCTCTTCTTCATCTTTGAGGAGACCGTCAAACATTGGCTGCTCCAAAGGAGGACAAATGTCACGGCTCAGTACTTTTTTCTTTGTTACCAACGAAAACCTCCTGTCTCGTAATACTCTGTCTAGCTTTTGGAATGCGTCTTTGGTCATCCCAGTAATTCTTCGAATCTCAGAGTTTCCCAGATATTTAAATTTCAGCGTCTGCTTGATTTTTTATTTTTGCAAATATAAGTATGTATCAATCTGCATTTGTATTAGTTTTTCCGAATATCATTCTAATCCTAAATATACCTTTTCTTTTTTCAGTGTCATTGCCGAAAACACTCTGTTCATTTCTAACCTAATTCAGCTTCGCGCTCTTTTCATCGGATTATTAGCGTCTTTATATTAAGCTGATCGTCCAATGGAGCTCGCATTTATTTGCAGCACTACGAAGATGGATCTATTAAAGTATTCCTGTCTACGACCACATCAAGTTGAAACATCGTACGATCACCAAAGTTAAGCAACGCCGAGCCCGGTCATTACGTAGATGGATGACCGATTGGGAATATCAGGTATTTAAATTGGATGCGCGGGTGGTGTAACGCTTAAAAGCTCAGAATTTTTTAATCGGAGAGTGAGTTTTAATCCCCATTAGGTTCGTTATCTTAACTTACACGCAATTACACTTGGAAAAGGTATGGAAACACCTCTTCTCCCCTCAGCTATGGTTTAAATACTAGAAATTGTATTATTAAACCATTATTATCTAATTATATTTTCTGGCTTTAAATAACCTGCATACTGTTGATTAACCGTACAACGCGACTCAGTCAATGAAAGTATTTCGGTATGTTACTATTGTCGAATATTACATTTGTCATTTTTTCTGACCTTGTCGACGACTAAAGAGCTTTTCGATTACGACCCAATCTGACCGTGCTGTTTTGTTTCTAGTCAACTTGTACAGGGACGATTTTAATATTTTCAGTGCTACCATAATTTTCTGTATTATAGTTTTCTCTCCTCAACTTTGCATAATGTTTTTATCTTCTTTTTTTTTTTGTTCCTTCTTTTGGTTTTATACAACCTGTCGATCAGCAATTTTCTTTGTCATGTTAATATTTCAATTCTTTTGTGCATACTTGATAAGTTTCACATACTTTTCCCGTTTTTTATGCATTTTTTCGGCGAGAAAATCGTTAAATATACAAAGAACAAACATTGGCTGTGTATATTAAAAAAACAAAAAAAAAAAACGAATTTGATTAAAATTAACTTATATCGTGACCGCAATTTTAACCCTTAACGTAAATATAATTTTTTATGACTTTAACTATTGTACCAGTTTGTACCTACAAGCCCGTCTGTCATAAAGCGCACAGATCTGCGTAAACTCTTTGTCTGTCACTTCCTTTTGCATCAACGAGAACCCGTGAAGTCTCTTGTCTCATTGCTGCCTGTGTTTGCAAAGCACTCACAGACACGTGTATGACGAAAGCGCTTTCAATCGCACAAACTCAGATTCCTCAGGACTGTGCATGTGTTTTGCCATTGTACGCTGGAAATATCAGGCAAAATGACAATTCTTTTACAGTGCCATCGTTCATTGTGTTTGGCGCGAGAAAACTCGCGTTTAATTCTATTCCCGCCTTTTTAAGAGGCGCTTGAAAAAAAAATTGATTAATTCGCGAGTGTGCGATTGGAGCGCGAATATTGTTGCTAAAAGAGAATCAAATGAAGATTGCTGCATTAGGCGGATGGTGGGGGGTGGGGTGATATATGGTAAAGGAAAGGAAAGACAAAAAGAGAAGGTACCATCGAGTGCGGATAGGGAAATTGGTTTGGAAAAAAAAAAGAAGAGTAATGAAAAGAAAGAGAGAAGAAAGAGCCGGTAGAAAGACGTAACTATGACAAAAAGGAAAGATAATTAAGATGAAAATAGTTATAGAAAGATTAAATAAAGTAAGGAGTAAGGGGGGATATAATAATAAAGAGGAAAGAGAAGATTGAGGCGGAAAAGAGAAAATAAAGAGAAAATAAGAGTGACACTAGAAAAATCACTTAGAAAACATGCTAAATTAAGAACGGAGAGAGTAATGCGAGAAACTAAAAATCAATAAAACATAGATTAAGCAGAGAAACGGGGAACATCAGAGAAAAAGAAAATAGAAAAAAAGGAGAGTAAAAAGAAAGGAGAGTAATGAAAAGGAAGTAAAAAATGGAGAGTAAGGAAATAGAAAGTCAAGAGAAAAAGGAGAGCATGCGTTGAAAAGTGAGTGAAGAGTGACAATCTGTGGATTAGAAAAAAGAAAAAAGAGGATAGAGAAAGACGGTGATGAGAATTAAAAAAAAGGAATTAAAATTCAAGAGGAAAACAAGTACAGAAATAAAAGTTACGAAAATGTAAAACGAAAGTGAAAGAAAGACTGGAAAAGTGATTAGAGATAAATAAGCTAATAATTTAGTATTAGAAAGAAAGAAAGAAAGAAAGAAAGAAAGAAAGAAAGAAAGAAATGAACGGTAGAGAAGAACAATTGTAGTAGACAGCAGGGTTTGCTATGAAGACGATAATGAAATGAAAGCAAGAAAATGAAGGAAAGGCAAGGAAAAAAGATGAGGGAAAGGAAATAAATAAATAAATATAAGGAAAGTAAATTGTTGTGGAGTGTATAGTACACCCCCAGTGACTATATGAACTAGTCCTTTACTATAAAGAGCTTAGGGTTAGAGGTAAGACTAGCAGTTTCGATCCAGGCATTTCGCTGCCTGGCTCGCGACTGAACCTGACGAGGATATGCCTACGGGCAAAGTCTCGTCTGGGGCGGCAGACAAACCCGGCTCCATGTATGCGGAGTCTAAGGGGGATTTTTGCCCGAGTCTATGGGCTTGAAACCTTGTATCACATCTTGCCTTGTGGAGAGGTTTTGTAAATACCTAGTTGTTTTCGACCCAGTTTCGCAGCTGACTTGTCGAACTCTCTGCCTTCGGACAGAGAGGAATCCAGACGAGGCCATGCCTACAGAGGGAGGTAGACAAACCCGACGCCATGTATGTGGGGGTCTACGATGAATTTTTTGCTCGAGCCTACGGCCTCGGAATCTCCCTCGCGTAAAAACTGGGCTAGTGCCACATCTTGCTTTTTGGGTAGCTGTTTCGACCAGGCAACTCGCTGTCTGGCTTGCGACTGACAAGACATCTGTCTTTGGGCAGATGGTGACTCAGTCGGGCTCTGTCTACGGATAGAGATTCGGATGAGAAAAACAGACAAGCGAAATACTCGTACCCGCAGTTGTGGAGAATGGGTTAATTCTGAACCAGCTGTCCGAGTGTTCGCGCCCGTGTTCCCCACGTTAATCCTGACCTTGTGTCGCATCTCGTCTAAGTAGGAAGGCATGGAGTTTGAAGTCAATCTTCAGACTAACTAATACAGGCGTCACGGCAAGTAGCCGAAGCATTACGTATACGAAATACGTTATATAAGTAAAAGTGTGTGATAACAATAGTCATAGAATAGTGGTATTATTACAGAAAGACAAATGAAAGAGTGAAGAGAAGGAAATGAGAGAAAAGAAGGAACGTTCGAAAGATAAGGAAAGGAAAGTAAAAAAGTAGAAGAGAAGGAAGGAAAAGAATGAAGACGACGGAAAGGACATAAATAAATGTTAAGAAAGAAATTAAAGAGAAAGAAAATAGAGAAAGAAAAGAAAGAAAGAAACAAAGAAAGAAAGAAACAAACAAAGATAAGGAAAGAAAAAACAAAGAAAAAACAGAAGGAATTATAAGGAAAGGAAAGAAAAGAAAAGAAAGAAAGAAATGAAAAAGGACGAACGATAAGGAAAAGAAAGAACGATAAGAGAAGGAAAGTAAAAAGTAGAAGACAAGGAAAGAAAAGAATGAAGGAGACGGAAAGGACATAAATAAATGTTGAGAGAGAAATTAAAGAGAAAGGAAACAGAGAAACAAAGGAAAGAAAGAAACAAACAAACAATGAAAGAAACAAAGTTAAGGAAAGAAAAAATAAAAATAAAAACAGAAGGAAATATAATGAATGAAAAGAAAAGAAAAGAAAGATAGAAAGATAGAAAGAAAAAAAAGAACGAAAGAAAGAGAAAAAAAAAAAGGACGAACGATAAGGAAAAAAGAACGATAAGGGAAGGAAAGTAAAAAAAAAAATGAAGAGAAGAAAGGAAAAGAATGAAGACGACGGAAAGGACATGAATAAATGTTAAGAAAGAAATTAAAGAGAAAGAAAATAGAGAAAGAAAAGAAAGAAAGAAACAAACAAAGAAACAAAGAAACAAAGATAAGGAAAGAAAAAAAACAAAGAAAAAACAGAAGGAATAATAAGGAAAGGAAAGAAAAGAAAAGAAAGAGAAATAAAAAAAGAACGAACGATAAGGAAAGGAAAAAAAAAAAAGGAAGAGAAGGAAAGTACAGACAGAAATTGAAGGAACGTAAATAAATATGAATAAATAAATAAAGAAATGAAAGAATGAAGAGAGAAAAAAAACAGAGAAAGAAAGGTAAGTATGAAACACAAGGAAAGAAAAGGAAAGGAAAAAAAAGAAAAAAAGAAAGAAGGAAGGAAAAGAAAAAAAAGACAAAGAAAGAAAACAAACAGAAAAGAATATAAAGAAAGGAAAAGAAAGAAATACGAAAGTGTGAATAGTTGAAAAGTAAAGAAAAGAAAACAAAGAAAGAAGGAAATATAAGGAAAGATGTGTGAAGAGAAGAAAAGATCATTACATAAGGAGAAGGAAAAAGTAAAGAGATAGAATGAAAGAAGGTAAGAAAAAAGATCCGTTTCGTTAAAAACTCTGAACGCAAGAATAGAATGTTTAATGAAAGCCCTAGAGGGAGAGAATGTCTACGAGCGGAGACAAAACAATATAGAAAGAGTACCATAATAAGTGCGAGTGCCAAAAAGGGCTACACACACACACACACACACACACAGAGAGAGAGAGAGAGAGAGAGAGAGAGAGAGAGAGAGAGAGAGAGAGAGATTAAAATGGCTCGTGAGTCTTGGAAAAGGAATAGGGAAAAGAGCAGATCTTTTAATTAAAAAGGCGATGAAGTCACTAAGACGCAAGTGCTTACTGAGAGTGAACGTAACTGATATAACGTTATTTAGTCGAAAGGACAATGAAAGAACAGGTTTTAAAAAAGACAGAAGATCACCATTGACATTGCATTTAAATTTTTGAAGATCCTAGTTGACACGTAGACAGAGTATTACGAGACAGGAGGATTTCGTTGGTAACAAAGAAAACAGTGCTACCCGATATCTGTCCTTTTTTGCGGAAGCGAATGTTGGACGTCTCCTCAAAGATAAAGAGCAGACTCGAGGCAACAGAGGGGTGGTTCTACAGAAGGATGCTGAGTATACCATGGACTGAATATGTGAGCAACTATGAGGACAAAGGATGCAGACAAAAAGGAAACATACTTAACATAAGAAAAAGGCAGCTGAAATTTTTGGGACACGTAATGAGGTAGGCTTGGAAAATCTGATACTCACAGAGCGGATAGAGGGGACGAGAGACAAGAGAAAGCAACGTGTGACATACTTAATGGGCTTAACCAAGTAGATGGCAGAACAGGGTCTGGGCGAAATAACAAAAATTCAAAGCTTATTGAAAGGTACAAGGGGCAGGAGGTAATGGAGAGCCATGATCGCCTACGTGATGAAGGGACACGGTACAAGAATTTGAGACGAAAGCGAGAAGCCGGAAGAGAGCTCTACAAGCGAGAAGTGAGAAACAAAAAAAACTATTAAGACAGAACTTACGGTTGCATCTATCAATTTTAACAGTAACAGGATGAGACGTAGCTACCAATCAAGTCCTGCGCTTAAATACACTAAAACGAAGAATGAAAGAGGAATGCAAATACATCAAGAGAAAAAGGAAGAAGACAAAAGTATAGATGAAAGATGGCGACCGTAAAAGAAACAAGAAAATGGGTAAGAATCGATGGCAAATCAGAAATAGGAATGTAAAGACACGAAGAAAAGACAAGGGAATCGAACGCGAAAGAAACAATGAAAGAGAAGAGAATCAATAATGGCCGACTTGGAAAATGAAACATCTATACTGTTTTAAGTTATTCCTGCTATAGGCTGCTGACCATGACACCAATGGAGGTAGAGAAAATAGGAAGAAGAGAAAGAGTGAAAAAAGCTATCAACGGTGGCCATTTTACGAAGAAGAACCAAATTTATCTTTCCTTGTCAAGCCGGCTGGAATTCAGTAATTATCTACCAGTACGAGAGGTCGCAAAAGATCGGTAGACAATGAGAGAGACGGATAGAAATAGAGAGAGATAGATAGAGAAAGGCGGGATGGAGAGAGAGAGAGAGAACGAAGATGTAAATGATGAAGAAAGGGGAGGAATGATAAGCAGAAGATTATAGGTAGTGTCGAATCGGCAATAATTAATTTGTTACATGCGTAACTGCTGAAATAGTTTGCCACCGGTCCCCGAGGTCGATTTTAGATTGTCAGGTAAAACCCCAAAATAATTAATGCTATTTTAAAGTAAGAAAGCGCATTTTCTTAAATATTGGCGTAACACAATCTTCCTTTTGCCTTGTTCTAAATTAAGTTTTGTAGATATCAAATTTTTACACGATTTTTTTTTCTTTTCTTCGTCCTGTTTGTATTTTTGTTCAATTATTTCAGCTTGTAGTTTTCCTTCATATTATTTTTCTTTCTTTTCATTCAACATTTCTTTATCCTTTAATTCTTCTCACTGATTCTTCTCTTTATTCCTTCTCACATCTTTCTTTTTATTTCTTTTTTCTTTATTCTTTTTGTTCTAAAAAAAATTCCCTGTTTTTTCTTCTTGTTGCTTTTTATTATTTATTCAGCTTAATTTGAATTTATTCTTCACTTTCATTTATCTTATTTCATTTCTGTTCTTCTTCGTTCTCCTTCTCTTTCATTTTGTTCATTCTTGTTCATTTTCTTTCTTCTTATTTATTCCCGCCCATTTTATTTTCTCATTTATTCTCTTTCTCTTTATTTCTTCTTCTTATTCTACTATTGTTTTCTCTTATTTATTCTTATCTTTCATTTAATATCCAATTATTACTTTCTTTTTTTCCTTTCTTCATTCTTCTTCTTCATTTCTTCTACTGTTGTTCATTCATTCATTTATTCATCCATTTATCTTCTTCTTTTTCTTTTTTACTTATCCTCTAGTTTTTCATTTTTTCTTCTTTATTCTCGTTTTACCCCTTTTTCATTCTTCTTAATTTTTTCTTTTTCTCATCCATTATTATTCTTCATTTAGTCTTCATATTTCTTCTTCTTTACTATTTATATTTTTTTTCATTCTTATTCATTTTCTTTACGTTTATTCTCCTTGATTCTTCTTTTTCATTATTCGTCATTCTTAATTCCATTCTCTTTTCTCTTCTTATTCAGTTTTATTTTTCACCTCCTCTTTATTTCATTCCACTTTTCTTGTCTATGATCTTCTTCCTTTTATCTCCAATTCATTCTTTCCTTCTTTCTTTCCTTCTTTCTTTCTGTCTTGTCGCTCTTTCTTATTACCCTTTCTTTCTTTCTTTCTTTCTTTCTTTCTTTCTTTCTTTCTTTCTTTCTTCTCACCTTTTCTTCTTTCTTTTCTTCACAACCTTCTTTTTGTTTGTTTATTTGTTTGTTTGTTTCTTTGTTTCTTTCTTTTCGCCCTTTTTTCTTTCCTTCTTTCTTTCTCTCTTGTCGCTCTTTCTTTCTTTCTTTCTTTCTTCTCACCTTTTCTTCTTTCTTTTCTTCACAACGTTCTTTTTGTTTGTTTATTTGTTTGTTTGTTTCTTTCTTTCTTTTCGCCCTTTTTTCTTTCCTTCTTTCTTTCTCTCTTGTCGCTGTTTCTTATCACCCTTTCTTTCTTTCCTTCTTTCTTCTCACCCTTTCTTTTTTTGTTTTCACCTTTTCTTTTCACTTTCGTTCTTTCTTTTTTCATCTCGTCCTTTCTTTCTTTTTTCTTCCTTTCTTTCTTTTAGCACTTTCTTCTTACCATTTCTTTCTTTCTTTTCGCCTTTTCTTCTAACCTTTCTTTCTTTCTTTTCAATGTCTTCCTTCACATTCTCCTTCTCGTCTGTCACCTTCCTATCTCTGATGTTTTTCCTGCATCGCATCCGAGTGCAACGCCCTGCAATACACACTAGCACATGCGTATACATTCATTCAATTCTTCATTATTTTTCCCCCTTTCCTCTTATTCACTCAACTTTCTTTTCTAATATCCAATTCAATCAGTGAATTCAATTTCAGCCTAACGCTATTCCAAGCCAAAGAAATCAGTAGATCGGGTGGGGCCTGTGGGTGGGAAGTTGGGGTGGGGGGATATCTTGTAAAAGAATTACGGAATAGAGTTCCTACAAATCCTGATTAATTACCAATGTTGGGTTTCCCTTGTCAAATATTCCTTGATGTGTGTATAATTGACAAAGTCGCTGTAAGCAATCTGTGCGTATAATAACTCCGCCGAGTTTGTACCCTTCGAATAAAGCTCGATGAGGTTCCGGTGATGACGGAGACTTCTTCAGTGTTGAGGGGACGAATGCTTGGTGATAAGCTGCTGAAATCCGAGAGCTGACGATGTCGATTCTTAACATAAAATAAGACCAGACCAATGAACGAACGCGACGTCGATTATATATATATATATATATATATATATATATATATATATATATATATATATATATATATATATTAATAGATATATATATATTAGGAATATCTGAACAGTGACGTTCCATATCACGTGACGTCCGCGTCTCGCGAAGGACGCTACTTGCCAACAAACAGTAATTTTAATTTATTTGTAACAAACAGTTATTTCTGATGAAAAATTGAGGACAATTTGAAATATCAAATATATATATAAATAAATAAATACTTTCATAAAATAAAACATTATAATTTTTAATTTGAAACTTTTTTATATATATATATATATATATATATATATATATATATATATATATATATATATATATATATATTTATATGTATGTATGTATGTGTGTGTGTGAACGACTGACAAGTTACTGTGATTTTTATTCAATTTTCCTTGTATTCTTATAAATTTTTCCCATGTTCTGTATGCCTGACAGCTTTCGGATATTCTTTTAGCCTTTATCAAGGATGACTTATTTTTTTATCTTTAACTGAATGTATATATTTTTAATGTATGTATCTAGAGTTATAAAAATGTTTTTTTTTTTGCAAACACGGACAGCACATTGTGGCCGTGTTCGTAGTTGATATTATTGATTGTTGGCTTTTTCTTTGTTATTGATAATGCTTTCATTAATTTTAGCCTCTTTTTTTAAAATGTGGATGAGGCTATTATATTTCTATTGTCTACGACTATGTTTCGGATGGAATTTGGCATGTCGTGATGTCCAATATAATTATTCATAAATTATTAATCCTTATTTTTATTCGCATAATTTGTATATATTTTTGTGTCCAGAAAATATAAAAAAATATAAGAACACAAGAAAAATTAAAAAAACAATACCAAAAAAATACAAAACTTATCCGCAGTAAATTATCAGTTGTTTTGAATGAAACTTGTATAAAAAGGGGTTACTATCCAAATACAAAATTATATATATCTATATCTATATCTATCTATCTATCTATCTATCTATCTATATATATATATATATATAGGGGTCACTCCCCCTTTGAGTTTATTTGAAGTGGAGTAAAAGGAACGTAAGTATATTTCATTTAAACCCTCACCGATATATTGCCAATACATTTGATCCCCCACTTTTCACCTTCTACAACAGCTCATGTTGTGTGTTGTATTACTTTTTTTTTTTTTAAATATAGCATTCATAATTTTTTTTTTTTGTTTTTAAAAAATAGAACGTTAGGAAATCAATTGACCGAAATCCTCTGAAGATAACGAAAGGTTGAAAGCAAGTTAACGGCATCGGCTGATTTCCTAATTCTATATATATATATATATATATATATATATATATATAAAAGAAAATCAGACATCTCTATCTAAATATTTTTGGCATTTGAAGGAAATGAATAAAACACCAAAAGTAAAATGGAAAATTATAAACAAAACTAGAACTTGTAAAACTTGGGATGACCCATGCCCTTTGTGCCTACATGAAAAACTACACATTATTAAGTTTTTAAATAATAAAAATCTATTAAACAATAGACAGGAGTTAACGGTTTTTTGCCGACATCATCAAATTTTTGCATTGAATAATTAGCATAAAAACAAACAAACAATAAAATAATTTTTAAATTCCATAGTCCTAATAAATAGTTTAAATGCCCTACAAAAAAAGATAATCCTTTATGAAGTCGTCAAAAAACAAATGTTAGCGATTTACGACAGTTTTTATATACACAAAACCCTTTCAGAAAAAAATAAAATAAAAAAATAAATAAATCTCCAGACACTTAAACAGACTAGACGATGTCATCTTCCGCTTTAAATTTAGACACTCCAAACTTACCATGACTTGACATCTGTGAATGTAACTGAGATATTGATACAAATTATTAACACCTTACGCCCCTTTTCTTTAAACAATAGCTCTAGCCGTTACCATAGAAATTTTGATTTCAATAATGAATATGCTTATAAAACGCATAAATTTCAGAAATAAGTTATTCCAAAAAAAAAAAGAAAATTCGCTTAAAGAGATGAAGTGATTTTCTAAGCCCGGCTTAGATGTGGCACAAGGCCGAAAGTATGGGGCACCCAGTGAGGATCGAACTCACTACTCAGACGTAATTGATCTAGCAAGACAAAGCTTTCTAACCATTACACCACGTCAAGGTGTCCAAAATTCGCTTGAAGATGGAACAGAGCTTAGTACTTTAATTCAATTTAATTCAGATAATTATATTGACGTTTTCGGCTCTTGTTTTGAAACATGAGAACTCTTATGTAGCGTGTTGGAATCATATTTTTAAATAAATAATTATATTTATGCTCTACTTTTGTACCGAGCACTATTTTTTAAAAATGACAAAAATAGTAAAGAATTTTGGATTATTTACCTAACGAGTTCTTTCCTATTTTCTATATCTTTTTCACACACACACACACACACACACACACACACACACACACACACACACACACACACACACACACACACACATATACATACATATATATATATATATTATATATATATATATATTAGAAATGGACTAAGTCCGACAATTATTTTAATATATTTTCGTTATTGTTATAGATACAAATATTTATGTAAAGGCTATGTTTATAAGAAACAGTATTAATTACATTTACCGGTCTGAATGTCTGAGAAATTTTCAGAGAAAATCTGCCTTCTTCGATAAGAACCGAAACTATATCTAACATGGAACCGTTATACAGCCTGACGTGCTCTACCATTTATACAATTTCAGTGTTTAAAAGCAGTAATTTGACCTTGCTAACCGCATGCTTCCTCTGTAGTTAAATGGTATAGTACGTCAGGCTATATGTAGATTGCGAGTAGAATGCGGGTTCGATTCCTGTCGGAAGACACGCATTTTCTTTGAGATTTTTCGGATATTCAGACCGGAAATGTTGTTAATACTGTTTATTATAAACAGATTATTTACGTAAATATTTGTATCTATGAAAATAACGAAAATATATTAAAATAATATATATATATATTAATGAAATCGTGTTCATATTTGAAATTAACGTTAACTAAGTTTTTTTGAAACATGAGAACTCTTATGTAGCGTGTTGGAATCATATTTTTAAATAAATAATTATGTTTATGCTCTACTTTTGTACCGAGCACTATTTAAAAAAAAAAATAAATGCAGAGGGTACGACTAATCCATAAATAGTAAAATACAACCTTGCCTGCCGTTCGCTAACGATCTCTCACGATCTCTCTCTATATATATATATATATATATATATATATATATATATATATATGATTTTGAGCACTTTTACCCATAAATGCTACATACCATAAAACAATATGTTCATTATGTGTGTGTTTGAGTTATTACCCTGTATATTTGGATTGCTACAATCGGATTACCACTAAATATATACAAATTTTCCTCCTATTAAAAGCTGGAAAGAGAAAGAAGAAGTAATTAAACAAAAGAATAGGAAAGAAAGAAAGGAAAGAATCAAAGAAAATGAAAACGGTAAAAAAAAGTATGAAGGAAGCAAAAACAAACAAACAAATAAATAAATAAAAATGACGGATCCAGAGAAAGATCAGGAAGAAATTCCATAAAGAAAGGAAGGAAAAATACAATGAAAAGAAAGAAATGGATTTAGAGTAACAAGAGAAAAAAAGAATGAACAAAACAAAGAATGAAAAAATAAAGAACCAATAGAAGGAAAGAAAGAATATATAAAATGAAAGAAAAGAATGAAAGAACGAAAGAAAGAACATATAGAATGGACGAAAAGAAAGAAAGAACGAAAGAAAGGACATCTAGAATGAACGCAATGACAGAAAGAACAAAAGAAATAAAGATCATATACAATGAGCGAAAAGAAGGAAAGAGCGAAAAGAGCAAAAACACATAAAATGAAAGAAAAGAAAGCAACAAAGAAAAACGAATAGAAGTTAGAAAGAAAGTATAACAGAAAAAGAAGAAGGAAAGAAAGAACATATAGAATGAACGAAAAGAAAGAAAGAACGAAAGAAAGAATGATCGAACGAAAGAAAGGACAGATAGAATGAGCGCAATTAAAGAAAGCACGAAAAGAGCAAAAACACATACAATGAAAACGAATAGACGAAGTTAGAAAGAAAGTATAACAGAAAAGGACGAAAGAAAGAACATATACAATGAGCGAAAAGAAAGAAAGAACGAAAGAAAGAAAGAACATATACAATGAGCGAAAAGAAAGAAAGAACGAAAGAAAGAAAGAACATATAGAATAAACGAAAAGAAAGAAAGAACGAAAGAAAGAAAGAACATATAGAATAAACGAAAAGAAAGAAAGAACGAAAGAAAGAATGATCGAACGAAAGAAAGGACAGATAAAATAAGCGCAATTAAAGAAAGCACGAAAAGAGCAAAAACACATACAATGAACGAAAAGAAAGAAAAAACCAAAGAAAAACAAATAGAAAAGGTGGAAGGAGAGCGTGACCGAAAATAAAGAAACCAAGAAAAAGAATTAAAGCAAGGAATAAAAATGGAAAATAAAAGATAAACAAGAGAAGAAATAAATGAAAAAGAGAGAAAGAAAGGAGAGAACGAAAAGA